AGAAATAAGGGCTGAAAATTCCCCAGAGAAGACCAAAGACATGAAGGCCGGTGGCCCTCAAGCGGGCTGACAATAAAAACAGCACTCAGGTAAAACAATTAGTCAGTTTAACTATAGACAGCCCCACATGAGGAAAAGCTACGCTCGGACCCTGACTGGTCTACTTCTTAGAGTCTCTAGTACCCATTCCCAGGGCACACCTTCCACCAAGACTACACTACTCTATCTGCAGGATCCATGCTTTCCAATCTTTCTGTCCTACCCTGCACCTTAATGTCACATAGAATTCAGGTTGAAGACTCTTTTCTTAAAAAGAATTATTTAAGTTTATTTATTTACTAATTTAATTTGGTGAGAGAGGGACACAGAGAGAAAGAGAGAAAGCAAGTCATCAGGTCTGGGACTTGAATCATGGTTGGCTGGTCATATGGGAGTCCAGTGCTCTTAAGCACCATGCTACCTGCTGGCCCCCAGGTTGAAAAAGTCTTATCTGACCAGCTCTGTAGTGCTTCCCACAGAGGTCATCACCTCTGTCTGCTATTTCAAGTTTAAAATTAAAAAGAAGAAAAGATAAGGACCATGAGACAAATCTGTTTCAAACCATTTTCATAACTATGGAAACAGCATAAAGTAAGCTAACTCTCACACAAAAATAGGAGCATACCAGTCTTGCATTTCAGACACTGGCATATCTGCATTTCAGCAGAGGCATGTGCTTCAGTAATTACATGATGAAAAGACAGTTCTGTAACCTTTTCCTTTTTCTTTATTAAAATTAAATTATAAGATTTATTCTAGGAAACAATAACATCTTTTATGCTTGATGGAATCTAATTTCGTAACATGTATTTGTACACAAAAATACCAAGGTCTCATTCCTTCTGCTATTAGCAAGATGTGATAATGAAGGTGAATTATTTCCCTTCTCTGAGGGTTAATTTCCTCCTTATTAAAGGAGAGAACTGTACTAAAATGGTAACTGTCAAGAACTGGTAGGCACTCAGTGCTAGTCTATAAATGCCACCTTGGAGACACTGGTCCAGAGGATCTCAAATGGAACTAGCAATGCTGTATATTTAAAAAGTTCCAGATCTCGTGGAGAATTTTGATGAGGCTTCCAAGAATGAGGCAAACTGAATTGAGTCAACTTCTGAAAGGGATAAACTTGACGAAGTTACTGGGAGCTGCTATTTTATATTATGACTGCTTTTTAAAATTCTGTTTTGTTTATGGATCTGATAAAATCTAGATCTGTAATATTTTTAAGTCGAAGCCCCTTGGACACTGCAGCTCTTTTCAGTTTTTGCTTATACGCAGTTCATTCTTTGCAGCTAATTAAGCTGAAGAAGCCTGGGAATAAAGTTTGGAACAAAGGTTAATAAAGTTCTTTGCCTAGTATAAAAAAAAGAAAAAAAAAGTGCTATGGGCAATTTTTCATACATAAACAGAAGTGATGGGTCCTTTTTGGCATAAGTAGTCTAAAGTATGAGAAGTTTAATAATACTTTTTTTAAAGTTTCAAAACGTTAGAAAAAATTCGAGCAAGTTATGTAACTATTTTTTTTTTGATAAGTTTTTTTGCTATAGGGTACGTGCACTCGCCAGAAAGACAGAGAGAGACAGAGAGATAGAAAGCAAGAAATCACTCCCCGGGGGGTGGCCACACCGCAATCCTTTCTCCTCCATTCTCCTCTTGGGATTGTTGGCACTCATGCACATATGCCCGGTGTGAGTTTAAGCCACCAAGTGTGGGAGTTTAAGCCACCGAGTGTGGGACTCGAACCGCAGTTGACTACATGGGAGTCCAGCGACACAGCCATTACGCCAACTGCTTGGTAACTATTTTTTTAAGAATTCATTTTTTTTATGAGGTTTTTGCTATAGGGCGCGTGCACTCGCCAGACAGACAGAGAGACATTGAGACAGAAAGCGAGAAATCACTCCCCAGGGGGGATGGCCACTCCACAATCCCTTCTCCAGTGTCCCTCTGGGATCCTGGGCACGCACGCACATGTGCCCGGCATGAGTTTTAAGCCACCGTGTCCGGGACACGAACTGTAGTCGACTACATGGGAGTCCAGCGACATAGCCATTACGCTAACTGCTGGTTCCATAAGAATTAATTTTGTTATTATTATTTAAAAAATTTGATCAGACAGACACACATACAGAGAGAGAAAGCAAGCCATCAGGTATGGGACTTGAACTATGGCTGACCAAGTGGAGTCCAGCACCTTAACCACCATGCTACTTGCTGGCCCAGTAACTAAATTTACTAAAATATTTTTGTTCTGAGCCCGTTGATTGAAGGCAGATATGTAATAAGCATGCATATTTTATTTTCCTATTTGACACTTATTCTTTTAATCATAGTCATGACTATTAACCCTCCCACTTTTATGTAGTATTTGATCTCTTAGTATTTGATCTCTAGAACCATGCTGGAAACCAAACAGGTATTAGTCTCCTACCCAAGTGTATTTGAGGTAAGATCTTTCACATGAAAGAGACTACATACCCACCCAGGATGCACATCTCTAACCCAATGCTTTTCACAGACCCAGCCCATCAGGTCAAGGGCTCTCACCCAGCAAAGGCAGCTAGGTTATATGTTTGAAATACTAACTTCCATACTGGGCAAATGAGAAAGTTAAACCTCATATGTTTTTGTCACACAGGATGGAGTATTTTTATGATGAGTAACAAGAAACTAAATAAATAATTATTTACTGAGCTTTTTTTAAAATGCCAGGCATAGTACCAAGCACTGGAACAATAGAGATGAGTAAGGTAAAACTGCTTCCTGAGAAGGGACAGAAAGTAGGAAAACAATCCCAGAAGATCTGAGGCAGAGCTGGATGAGCTGCCATGGAATGGAGGGAATGCTTAATACAGATAGGTTGAATGGATATCAAAAAATATTTTTTTTCTTTCTTTTTTTTCCTAAAGGAAACAGATCAAGTGGTCAGGCAGCAATTAGGAAGAAGACTGGGAAACAGGAAAACAAAAATATAAACTTGGCCATGAGGATTACAAACTACTACAAAAGGCACAATCACTGGAGGTACACATTGGGGCAGGTCCATAAAGCTTTCACAGAGTCAGGAATAATCAATGCGATTATACAACAGGATGCCAGCTGTGTGTACCACTAATGCTATGAAAACTTTACAATTTCTCTCCCCATAAATCTGTAGGTTTAGCTAGAACATGGTTCCTTTACATATTTTGCTCCATTTTTTTTTCTTTATTTCCCCTGAGGCAATTTGGGAAGCACCATAGAGAAATCAATTTCTACAAATTACAAAAGACTTTCATTGAAATCCATGTAATTTCAAATGCCATGTAGCCACTGTCAATACAAGAAATGAATTTCTCTTCCATAGGTCAGAAACAGTTGTTTATCTGTACTGGCCTGAGTGTTGGGTGCCCTGGTAATAGATTCCATTTATTGTTAACAGCTATCCTTTTCATCTCTTGCTTATTTACTAGTACAGTTTTTCCCTATCATTTTGTATTTAGATTTCACTACATGTATGATATTTCCTTGGCTTCATAAAAGTGAGGCATAAGAAAATACTAAGTGGCTAATTTTAAATGTAAGCAATAAGAGTAGATATTGACTTGAAAATCCTTCTTACATTATTCATACAAGCATACCCTGGGATATGAAAACTATTCTGAAGGAAGAGCTAGGTGTTTCTTTTTTATTACTTTTTTTAAAAAAAGAATTACTTTATTTAACTTTATTTACTATTATTATTTTCCAGTTCAATCAGAGAGAGACAGGGAGGGAAAGCAAGAAAGCAAGCTGCCAGGTCCAGGACTTGAACCACGGTCGACCATGTGGGAGTCCAGCGCCTTTAACTACCACGCCACCTACTGGCCCCTAAGTGTTTCTTTTTTGCCATAAGGCATGTGCACTCATGAGAGAGAGAAAGCGACAGAGAGAAGAAAAGTAAGAAATCACGCCCCTACTTAGGAGGGATGGCCACACTGCAATCCCTTCTCCTCCATTCTCCACTTGGGATTTTGGGCTAGGATGTATACACACCTGATATGACTGTCAAGCTGCCAGGTTTGGTACTTGAACTGTGGGCAGCCATGTGGATTCCAGTGCCTTAACCACCATACCACCTGTTGGCCCCAGAGAGCTAGGTTTTGAAGCCCAAAATGCAAAGGAGTAAGTGTCCCCAAGTATTAGTATGCAAACCTTTCCTTCTGATGGATTCAGGTCAAACATTGATTGGTAAACAAAAGAAAGATGTTTGGGCTCTTCACTGTCTACCTTAGAAACGTTTATTCAGATTATAAAAGAGCAATAAATGCTGGCACAAATAACATTCTCTGCTATTGGATGAAGCTGTAGGTATTTTCACAACCATTCATTGACAAAGCAGTATGAGAAAGTTTGTTCTCTCAATAGTAACTCTTCGTTCTTTTTTTTTAATGTCAAAGGGCATATATGAGAGAGAGAGAGAGAGGGAGGGAGAGAGGAGAGAGGAGAGAGGAGAGAGGAGAGAGGGGAGGGAGAGGGGGGGGG